GAAAGTTGCTGACAAGGTTGTTGTTGAAAAGCGAATGCACCGTTCTCCTGTCACCGAAGAAGAATTTGAGGCCCATGGGTGTTCTGGGGTGGATTATAAACACTATTTTGGTGGGGTGGTGATGTACTGGAATCCTTCTGAAATGTCTGGGACCAGTTTCTTGCGCCCTCCTTCACTTAGTTCAGATGATAGTTCTTGGGCATGGCGAGTGGCAGATATGAACAAGGTTGTTGATGACAGAGTTGACCTTGTTTCCTCTCACAGTATTTCTTTTTGCTCTTCCTTTGATCTTTTTGGCTCAGAAATTAGTGAATATATCTGGAAGTAAAGTTCATACTGGCAAGGTTGCACAGACAACTTGTGTGCAGCAGCATCCAGATATTTCACTTCAGATACAACCAATTGAAATGCTGGAAGCACAGATGGTGGAAGATGCAAACTTTTGCAACATAAGAGAACATTCTGCCTCCAGGACCTTGTTACTACTCCTTGCAGAGAAGAACATGAAGATGCAGCTTCAAGTACTGAAGCTAAAGATCCAGAATGCAATGTTGTATTGGGAAGGAAGAGGTGCTAGAATGAAGTGCAAGTGGGAGATCATGGTTGATTCCTATCACCCACCTTGAGGACAAGGTGGTTGTTTAGGGGGGGAGTATTGTTAGGAATGGGCCTATTATTAGAAATAATAATAAGTGGGCCTATTATTGTAGATAATAATAAGTGAGCTTGTATTATAAATAGAAGTACTATAAATAGAAGTCTGGAGTCTAAGAATGGTAGGCAAGTATTTTGGGACTTGGATAGGCTAGGAGACTGGGCATCTCGAATTGTCCATTGTATTCATTCCGTAAACACATCGTTCATCAATAAACATTTTCTTCATCTCTTCTTGATCAATTTCTTAGTGATTCTCTACAATTCTAAGTCAGAGTTATCTGGTTCTATCATACGCAAACATGTTCTTTACTCCATTTATCTCCACATTTGAAACACAGACTCTTTCTACTTCTTTCTTTTAGCTCTGCTTGTAACAACCTCTGGCCTCCCTTGGTCCCTCCCATGTTTAGTTCAGTTTTGGTGCTTCCTTGGTTTTAATATTAGCAGAAACCTTCTCAGTGAGGCTGGTATTATTTTGGTCATGTCTCCACCACTTTTCCCTTCAATCCACTGTTGAGGATTGGATACAGGCCCCCCTTTTTCTTTACATACTCCCTTGTCTTCATCCTTGCTTCCTCTTATTCTCAGAGCCGCATTCTTTTCTTCCAGTAATAGAGCACGGTCCATCAGCTCGGTCAAACTCTATGCAGGATACAGTTTGAGTTCTGCTTTGATCTCCTCCTTTAGGCCATTGATAAAAATGCCTTTAAGCATTTCATTGTCAATGCTTCAGAGGGAGGCTACGACCAGCTCGATTTTCTCCCGATAGTACGTCCGTGACTGATCCTATCTGCCTCACGCTAAGAATAGGACCAAAGGGATTTTGCACCATTCCCGGTTGGAACCGTCGAATCACAGCTTCCTTAAAATTTTCCCAGGAATGTTCATTGGTCTGTTCCTCCCACCATTGGTACCAATTTAAAGCTTTCTCCTCCATTGCCTCTACCACCATCTCTATTTTCTCAGTCTCCTTAAATTCAACCGGAAAAACCTTTCCACCCTAATGATCCACCCATGTGCATCTTCCCCAAACTCGTCAAAAGCGGTGAAAAGCGCCTACAAGCGGCAAAGCGCAGGCGAGCGCTGAACCTGCGCCTGGCTTTTGAGAAGCGCCGCGCCATGAGAAAGCGAAGCTTTTCCGGCGCTTTTGCTTGAGCTCGCTTAATGAAAAACGATCGCTTTTCATGGCTTCTCACAAAAAGCGGTAAATTGGCCCGTCAATTTTTTTTTTAAAATTTGGTCTTCTCATCTTGACGCTACAAGTTAGGGTTGTTCGACTCCTTCCCACTCCAGACATAGCCGCACTCCAGAGTCCAGACATAGCTGAAGAAATCGCAGGTGAAGAGCTGAAGAGGAGTTCTCCCAGTTCTCCCAGACTTTCTTGCCGGTGCTGCGCAGGTTCACCATCGTTCTATTTCATCATCGTTCTTCAATTTTACGTGATTGTAGTTGGAGCCCTGAACTTCCGCAGCTCAGTTTACTCTGTTTCAATTTTACAGTTACTCTATTTGTATAATCAGCTTCTAAAATAGCCTATAATACACACACACACACACACACACACATATATATATACACACACATATATATATACATATATATAATATGAGTGAAAGAAATCATTATATTATCATTTTCTTGGTAATTATGATAGTTTTAATTTCCAGTTTATTACTTTCGGTTTATTGATAAATTAATTTTTTGTTTATTCCAGTTTATTCCTTTCACTTTATTGATTAATTAATTATTTTATTCCAATTTATGCCTTTTAGTTAATTGATTAATTATTTTTTAATTCATTCCAGTTTATTCCTTTTAGTTTATTGATTAAATAATTTTTACTTAATTACTTCATTTCAGTTTATTTCTTTCCTCTCATTGATTAACTAATTTTTAGTTTATTCCACTAAGTAATAAGGTCTCCATTGCTCTTTGTACACTTGCTTGATGACTTGATTAAACATTTGTGAAACTATGAACCACTAAGAAGAACAAGGCAGTTTGATGACGAGGAGGATGAGACGATGGAATGATGAAGCCACTAAGAACCGTTTTTAATGAAACTATGACATTATGTGAAGAATGTTTTGATCTATATGCCGCACTAGTATTGCCCTTATGACTTTTATGATTAGCTATGTGTTTTTGCGTAATTGTGTGATGAAGGTTTTGAAACTTTATGCCGCACTAGTATTATTTTGAATGACTTTTATGACTACTAATGCATTTTTGGCATAATTATACATTATATTTTATATTTTCTTTTATTTTTTTAATCATCGCTTTTTGTGAGAAAGCTACGCTTCGCTTAGCGCTTTCGCTTTTAAGCAAAGCCCAGAGTCATCGCTTTTGGACGCTTTACGCTTTAAAAAAGTTTGATCTTCCCCGTTAAAAATTAGTCCGGACTGGGAATTGGGAGAACGAAACCTCTCGAAGACTCCCAAACTGTTCTTCTTCTTTACGGTTTCAGTATTTTTCCCAATTATTATTAGGGTGGATTATTATTATACGGTCTGAAACCTTTCCACCATTAATAATAATAATAATAATAATAATAGAATGTTTCCAATTTGCTATGAACGTTTTTGATTTGAATGTTTCTGATCTGATCTGAATGCTTCTGATCTGATCTGAATGTTTCTGATCTGAATCTTTCTGATCTGATCTGATCTGATTTGAATCTTTCTGATCTGATCTAATCTGAATTTTTCTGATCTGATCTGAATAAAATAAGAATAAGCAATAAGTAATAAGAATAAGACGAACAGAACAACTTCTTAATAGACTCTTATTTGTAGTAGTGTCCTGGTCCCTATCAAAGAGAAGAACAGTGGACTAGATATAGACTCCTCCATATTCCTCATATCTGGCTCTTCCAGTAGTTAGGGTAGTTTGGAGGAGTTATATTTTTTATAAATTCTTTTTTTTTCTTTTGAAGAATCAAAATTTTCTAGGCTATCATTGTATTACATATAGATTACTACATACTACGTATATTTTGAAGCATTAAAAAGTTATACCCCATCAAACATACATTCCCTTCCTCCTCTCCCATCCACTGAATTAAACATAACTTCTAAAACTCTTGCATTTTCTCCCACTTCCCTTCCCTTCCTTCTTTTAAACCAAATGAAGGCTTAAAGAATAAAGATTAGGGTGGGGATCTAAATAAGTTTTTCCGAAACATCTTTGTTGCACATCATTGAAAAACAGTGTATGTCATACAGTGACATTAACGTGTTGTTTCGTCCACAGACTTGCTAGTAGAAAATGGAAAGTTTCTTCTTTCTGCTAAGCGGAGCCGGAAGACTACACGCACAGAATATATTATCTCACTGGATGCAGATAACATATCTCGGTCTACCAACACTTGCATAGGAAAAGTTAGGTCTGTTTCTATTGGAACTCAATTATTTCCTGCCTTCATATATATTGTCTGTAAACTGTCCTGGGAAAAACCAGAACAGATTTCTGTTTCTGTATGATTATGTTTTTCAAGATAACAAACAGGGATTTAAGCCAACATGTACAAGAAAGTCACAAAAGAAAGAAAATTAAGAAGCAAAAACCAACAGCAAAAGGAACTATAAGAAAACGAGATTTTGGAATAGAAAACTCGTGGATAAGACACTGATAGGAACCAGACAATTGACTGTATATTAACTCAGGAAATAAGAGTCCTGAAGCTATTACAATGGCAGACGATGGTAGTTCATGTACAAGCAGAAGAGCGTAAAGAAGGAAAAGACAATTGAGACACTTAGAGTAGTCTCGCACTCCCAGTCCCAGCCCAAAGCTCCAAGTTTTGCCAGTCCTATTTATTCTTTTCCATTTGGGCTAGCCCAGTGCTATTTAATTCAGGGCCTCAACCCCTTTTATTCTACAATATTAAAAGACCAATATTATTCTTATTACTAGTACTATCTTTCTCTCCATCAGACACTTAACAATGACTGCCCACTATTCACTTACGATATGTTTGTGTCATGGGAAATGACAGGAAAGAAAAAAAATCATTAAAAATTATCATCGAAAATGGGAAGGAAAATGAGTTAAGATTAGTCTTTTTAATCTTTCTTGCATATGTTTAGATTTCTTAGTGTTTTTTTAGAACAGCAAAAAATAAACAAATGGAGTTGAAAAAAATAATACAAATTTTCTTGAGTTTGAACCTGTCTTTTGTTTCCACCCAAACTATTATTCCTTCCAACTTTCCTCTATCTTCTCCATTTAATTGCTTGTGATTGTGGATATGTTAGCATGGAGCTCAACATGTAAGTTGATATTATAACCTTCATGGAGCGCGGTTTTATTTAAAAGTAATTGCTTCTTATATGTTTCAGATCAAACTTTCTTGGCACCAAATTCATAATCTACGACTCTCAAAAACCACAATACAAGAAAGTTTACCCCAAAGTCCCTACAGGAAGCCACACCATTGCACAAGTCACATACGAAGTGAATGTGCTCGGCACGAAGGGCCCAAGGAAGATGCACTGTTTCATGTACTCCATCCCTGCTTCATCTCTTGAGCCCGGTGCCACCGTCCCAGGCCCACTTGAGAGCAGCTCATTCCGGAGGAGCATACCCTTTTCAGAATGTATTGATGATTCATCTGAGTTCAGCAGTGCCAGGTGGCATGAGGAAGAAGGGGATGGAGATGGTGTGAAGGAAGGAGGGTTTTTGGTGCTTGGGAACAAGCCGCCCAGGTGGCATGAACAGTTACAGTGCTGGTGCCTGAATTTTAGGGGAAGGGTAACTGTTGCCTCTGTCAAAAATTTTCAGCTGATTGCGGAAACACCGCCGCCAATTCAGCCGGCCCACCGGTCTGATCCTGAAAAGATCATATTGCAGTTTGGGAAGGTTGGAGATGATATGTTCACCATGGATTATAGATATCCTTTGTCTGCCTTTCAGGCATTCGCTATCTGTTTGAGCAGCTTTGACACCAAACTCGCTTGTGAATAAAATACAAATGCATTGCCTAATTGCATATATGTTTTGGTGTTTGCCCTTTTCCAGTTACTTCCATGAAATCATAGTATTTGCTTGGATGAATTCCTGAATCCTAATTAGTTAAATTATGGAGATTTTTTTCTTCCAATAATGTAGGTTCAATAATGTCACCAAAATATCACAAGTTTGTTTGCTCAACTAATTTTCACGTTCTCATGCCCGACTAATACACGCAGAGTAAATAATACGGAATATGTTAAGAAAGAAATGCCAAAATATGACCAATAAGGTTTTAATAGACAAATATATAACTTTTTTAATACTTTACAAAAAAGTGACTACAACTCCACTCCCTCACTCGGCAATCTTCTCCAACGCGCATCTGGCCGTCTCCATCAAATTGAACCAGCTCCTCAACAGTGGTGAATTTCTGCAGATCAACAAGCAACTCCACGGCGGTGAATTTGTGTAGATGAACCGGCACTTCCATGAACTTAATTGATCCGGTGGTAAGGATCATCAATCTGGCAAGCTTCATCTTCCGGTTACGATTTTCTTAGATCCGGTGAAGAGCCTTGTCATCCGATAATGAGGATCACAGATTTGACAACCTATTATGACGAGCTCGGATGGCGCCTCTCTGCCTCGCCTCACCACTCTATCATCGTCTGCCTCTTCGCCTCATAGACATTCAGATCTGATATGCTGACCAGTAAGCGACCAGATTTAGTGGCTCAGTTGGGCTATCAAAGGTGGGGCTAGGAGGGGTGGATTGGGGCTTGTTAGGGTGGTCGGAGTTGGTGTGTGGCAGCGATTGGGTGGCCAGAGGGGGGCGGAGTTGGTTTGGGTAGCTGTGATGAAGAGGCCAGGAGTTCGCTGGGGCTGGGAGCTGGAGAGTCAAGTCTGGGTGGTGCAGTGGTCGGTGGTGGTGGTCCGCGCGGTTAGGTAGGCTTGGTCACTGGGCAGTGGCTGCGACTGCGGCAGGGAGGGGCAGCGGGGGGTAATTGGTTTGGGGTGCTGGGGCATGGGGATGAGCATGGCGGTCTACGAGAGACATATGTCGTGGTGGGATAGTGCCATAGCAGTGCTGGTGGGGCGGTGGGCGGCAATGTGGGATGGTCTCTAGCCAGTCGTGGATGTCATTGTTTTGTCAGAAAAGTCACCGAAAAATTTTCCAGCAGTCATAGACTCATAGTGACATATTTCACGGCTTTAGATGTCACTGTAGCGATGTCACTAAAGCGATATCACTGTGGTCAAAGGCAGTGACCGGCGGTGGCGGCAGTGACACGGGTGATGGTAGCGGCAGTGACACATGCAATGGCGGTCGTGACATCCGATAGTGACATGAAAATAGGGCAGTGATATGAATATTTGTGAGTCACTTTATGTTTTTCCAAAGATATAAGAAACAATGGCATAAATATTACTTATAGACTTTTGAAAGACAAAAATGGGATCAAGTTTCGTTTAGGACAAAAATGTGAGTAAAACTACATGAAATTGTTGAACTGCCCCTAAACCCCCAATCCCAATCACCCGCTTCCATCCTCGTTCAACCCGAGATGGCGAGCCGCCTATTGCAATGAATCTATGGAGCACTTCAAAGACGGCGATGAAACTAAGCGAAGACAACGACGACAGGATCTGCGCCGCCGTTGCAGCTCCTCCTCCCCCCTCCCCCTCCCCCTCTCCCTCCCCCCTCCTCCTCCCTCCACCCTCCCCCCCTCCTCTTCTTCTTCTTCTTCTTCTTCTTTCTTCTCGCCTGCAACCCTATCGCTGTCCTCTCAAGCCAGCGACGAGATCATCACTCGTTGCTTCGCTGCCTCTCTCCTATGGTGAAGTCGTCGTTGCGGTGTATCGATTGCTGGGATATTAGATTTCGATGGAGGCTGAGTTTTGTGTTGAGGTGCGGTGGTTGGGCGAGGGCGGATAGTGACGGGAGTACGAAGGCGATTGGAGCCGCGATTTAGTCTCGGTATGGCTCGTGCAGTGGTCTGCGATGTATGGGACTGGTGTGGGGTGGGTCCGCGATGGTTCAGAGTCAGGGAGGCAGCTGGGGAGCGGGCTGGATCGGGGTTGAGCTGGTGGGGTGTAAGGGTGGGGTGGGTGCGGGTACCTTTCCAGATCTGATCCCCGTCTAGCTTTCCAGAGGAGGAAGTGAGGAAGGCGGTGGGGCACCCGACGCGGAGGCGTTGGTGCATTTACTGTGCGATGTTCATATAGCCGGGTTCATCACTTTGGCGATGTCATTGGAACGATGTCATCGGCAGCGGTGTCACTGTGGCGGTGTCGGCGATGGCAGTGTCACTATGACCGGTGTCATTGAGATGATGCCACTGTAATGTTGTCATAGGAGACTGGGGTTGGGTATAATTTAGTAAACTTAATGGCTAGCAGTCATATTTATGGAAATTTTAAAAAAATGTCACTTTTCTGTCAAGAGTTTTTGCCACTTTTGGTCCCCCGACTATTGTGTCAGTGACACTTTTGGTATCCGACTTTTAATTCTTTCATTTTTAGTCATCCACTATTGTGCGAGAGACACTTTTAGTCCTCGACTTTCAATTTTCCCACATTTAGTCCTTTGAATATTATCAAATTGACAATTTTAGTCCTTGTACTATGATTTTGACACAATAAGTGAAGGACTAAAAATGTCACTATTGCAATAGTTGAAGGACCAAAAATGTCACTTTTACAAAAGTCGAAGGACTAAATACGAAAATTTTTAAAGTCGGGTACCAAAAGTGTCTCTTGCACTATAGTCGAGGACTAAAAATGAAAAAATTAAAAGTCGAGTACCAAAAGTGTCACCGACACAATAGTCGAGGGACTAAAAGTGGCAAAAACTCTTTCTGTCAACTAACCATGTTTTAGTATTTAGGTCAAAACCCCTATATATTATCACCTCGTGACATTTTTCTCCAAATTCAAATAAAGTCATATTCTGAAAAAGTAGCTTTAGTTTAGTAATATTAAGGGGGGAAACCCCATATGTTAAGTGTTAAAGTTAATGTGGTAGTTTTGTGTATTATTTTTGTAAAGAAAGAAAATGCAGAGCATTTTGCAAGTGTCACCTACTCACCTACAAAATATGATACTCCGTATGAATAAAACTTTAATTTATTTTTTAAATTGGCGCATCTATCAATAATTTAAGGAAGTTCCCCAAAGTAGAAGTAAATCGGTGTGAAATTTTAAAATACGAGCATTGTGTCTTAACTTTTAAATAAATAGGAGTAAATACTCTCATGTTTGAAAAAACGAGAAATTACCCAAAATAGGACTAAAAACGTTTGTATATTCCAAAATATGACTATCATGTTTTTATTTTCAAAATAGAACTAATTAATGTCATGTTTTGGAAGTTCCAGACTTTAAACATGACAGTATTTTCCAAACTTGGTAGTAATTACTCCTATTTTGAGAATAAAAACATGGCGGTCCTATTTTGAAATTTTCAAACTTTTTTACCCCTATTTCGGGAATTTTCCCTTGAAAAATCCTTGTAATTATAGTCATAATAATTTATCACGGAGTAGTATTTACAAAAAATAGAGTATTCTTGTTTTGAACTTTACATTATTTTTTATTTCAAATTCAAGAACTTTCCCAATGATTGACTAATTAAATCATGAAAAAATAATACTACGTATGGTGTAGTATAGAAATTCAAATAACCCTAAAACAAACTCCCACATCAAAAATAAAATTACAACCTTCACTCCCTAAGGCTTATCTAGCACTACTTCATCAATAAACCTAAAGTTCAATAATTCTACTAAACTTGTATATCCACTTCGTCAATCTAGTTATTAATCTATTATCTGCAATTTGGACCATCAATATATTCACTCATCACAATTTTTTTAATTAAATCATTACTTTTATTATTATATATTAACGTTTTGCCAATACTATTTTACAAAAATATGATTTAAAAAGTCAATCATTACAATGTAAACATACATAAATTTTGAGTTTAATTTTTGTTGTTGTTACTTTAGACCTATTTCTAAAAAATAATTGAAAAATGTAAAAGATTCATGGTATGTTAATTTTAGCACTTATGTTTACTTAACAAAATTATGGGCTTAAGAACCCCAGCCGTTGAAGTTTCATACTCCGTATTTTTTAAATTTTGATATATGTTTTATAAAAATTTGAGTAAAAATAAAAAAGTTACTTCCTCTGTCCCGCTAAAATTGTCTCATTTTACCTTTTCGGAAAATCCAACTAAGATTGTCTCATATCAAATATGGTAAAGTTTGTGTTGCTCTAAATCATTTTTACATTATTCTTACTTTATCAATTTAATATCAACCACACAAATTCACTTTTTTTAATAATCATGTCAATCTTCTCTTACCTCATTTTAGTGGGAGTGTAGGAAGAAGGTAGTACTAAACTTAAAAAGATACTTTTTTCGTCCCACCTCTCTTATTTTTCTCCTTTCTCCCGGGTTTTGTGCCTGCCTTCTTTCGGCCAGGTGAATTGAATGGATATGAATTCATAATTCCCCACCCCATGGTGATGTCTACCCACTTTAGTATCCTTATGTGAATTACTTTTACATGATTGCACATTTTATAAGTTGAAGATTACACATTTTATAAGTTGAAGAATAAGGATATGTCACGCAAAATTTGCCCATGATTTTCATTTGATACAACCAACAACCCTCCTTTTGCATTACATTACATTCCATTTTAAAGGTTAATTTGGGAGCTTCGGTTCCAAATGTAAAATTGAGGCCCCATTATAAAATAAATTTTAAGTATTTACTTAAAATTGATCGCAAATAATAATATAAGAGAAAATCGGGTACAATCTCTAAATATGAATTCTCTGATTCTTCACTTGTAATATAATTAAAGAATTTAATTCGAAATTAAATCTCCAATTCTTCAAAAATTCGTACGTTCTTTGGATCTTCGAATCTTCGTTCTTGATATCTTCGAATCTCCGAATCTTCGTTCTTCGAGTCTTCAAATATTCTTGAATAAAAAGTTCAGCTTGAAGGACCTCCGGTTTTCAAGTAACTTGATCTTCAACAAAAGCGCAGTTTTATGACTTGATCTTCTGTTCAAGGGCCTCCCGGGATATATGAATTGATCTTCAATTGAATTTCGATTCAATCTTCACATGAATATCTTCAAATCTTCAAAGATGTTCTTCATATCTTCGAATC